CAAAAAATTAGTTTTTTGGTTTTTTGTTTTGTTTTGTTTTGCTTGGTTTGTGGTACTGGGGATGGAATCAAGGGCCTTGTGCATGCAAGGCAAGCTATATCCCCAGCCCTAGACTCCAAGGGCACAGGACAGAGGACGGGAAGAAAGTGATTTTTCAGAGAAGACTGGACAAACTCTGCCAGCCAGGCGGTCAAGGTCACCCTCAGCCATCGTGTTCTGGTGCTAGAGTGTCACTAGAGTGACGCTTGGCCGCCTCTGGGATTCCCCAAACACAAACTCCAGTCGAACCAACATAAAGCTGATCAAGGAAAGCCCAGTTGGGAGACATAACAAAATAGCTGACCTGCCCTCAAAACTGTCACCCAGGGATGGAGCTGTCACTCAGTGGTAGAGCCCTTGCCTTGCATGTGTGTGAGGCACTGGGTTCGATCCTCAGCACAACATAAAAATAAAGAGATTGTATTGTTGTGTCCACCTACAACTAAAAAAAAAAAAATGTTAACACTGTCAAGATATTTAGAAGAAATTCTTAAGAATGTGGCAGAGCCAGTAAGGGCCTAAGTGTTGACTGGGCTAGTTCCCAGGATGGAATCTTGGGACAGGAAAAAAACAAAAGGTTGAGGGAAAAGCTCAGGAAGACCGGATAAAGCATAGATTCAGTGAATGACATCAGTATCAGTTTGTTAACTGTGACAAATGTGCCACAACAGAATGTTAATGGGGAAACGGTGTGGGGATGATGGGGACTGTATTTGCAGCTTTCTGTAAGTCTCAAAAATTTTATGTAGGTGCATAAAATAGCCAGACATAGTGGCACATGCCTGTGATCTCTGACACGGGAGGGTTGGAAATTTGAGGTCAATCTGGGCAAATTAGACTCTGTCTCAGAAAGTGGGGTGGGCTGGGGGTGTAGCTCAATAGTAGAGTGCCCCCCTGTTCAATCCCCAGCACTGAAAAGGGGAAAAAAAAAAAAGGCTGAAAAACATAAAATACATCCTTCACCCATGTTTCTCGTAGTACATTCTTAATTGACAAAAACTGCATTGCGTAGCACTTTATCACATTTATTTGGCCTTCTCTCTTCCTGCTGTTCATATTTAGGTATCTGTAATGAAACAAGGGCATTTTCTCACACAGCCAGGGTCCAGTTATCAAGGTCAAAAAGTTAATGTTGCCACAATGTTCTTGTCAACAGACCTTAATCAAATTTTACCAATAGTCACGTGTAATGTCCTCATAGTTATAAAAAGCCCTGGCTAATGCATCCACCAGGTTCCCACACTGCATCGTCAGGTTGGAAGCTCACAGGGTAAGTATACTGCAGACTGTTCTTAATCAGAGCTTATTGCCTGATGTTTCCCCAGTGTTAAATTCCAACTATTCGGGACAGAATTTCCAGAAGTGACATGCCTTCCTGAGAGCACACTATGAGGAGGCACAGGATGACAGTTTGTCCCTTAACTGGGGATGACTCTGATCTCTTGGTTAGGGTAATATCTCTCGAGTCTCTTCACCATCCGGGGGTCATAAAGAGGCCAGGGTTTCTCAAGTGGAGGTGGGGGAAAAGAAGGAAATGTGACACATGTAACAATGGGCAAACGAGTTTCACTGTGTGACTGGAAGCCACTGATCCAATATCCAATTCTCTCTCCTGTTCACTTTCCCCAGTGTTGTTGACTTGGTGCCTGAAACTAGCAAGCACCTGTTTCCTGCCTCAGGGCCTTTGCTCATGCTGGTCCCACCTCTTGGAATATTCTGCCCTCTCTTTACATTCTGGATCTTTCTCCTCCTCCAGGTTTCAGCTCCATTGTCCCACCTCAGAAAGGCATGCTGGGCCACTATCTAGCCTGTTCACTCATTCATTCAACAAATGTTTATTGGGCACTGACTATGTGCCAGGCACTGTTTTAGGTACTGGGGATATAGCAATAGGAGAATGGTAGACAAGAAGCCCTGCCATCATGGGGCTCACAAACATTGGTTGGTTAGAAAGCAATAAGTGCTAAGGAGAGAATAAGTGTAGAGAATATGGGATGGGAAATGCTTAGACTGGCACTTTTCATGGAGAAGGTGACATCTAAATAAATATCTTAAAGGAAGTTTGGGAGGGAAACAGTCTTCGGGAAAAGCATTTCTGGCAGAGGGAACACTCAGCGCAAAGGCCTCAGGTATGTGGAAGAGGCAGAGGCCAGTGTGGGTGGCTGGGGGGACTGAGTGAGGGGGATGAACAGATGAGCTCAGAGGCTTATGTGGGGGATGGAAGCAGAAGACATAGGTGAGCTGGGCCTTCAACTTGAGGGAGAAGGGAGCCCTGGTGAAGCTCTGAACAGACGGAGGGTGTGATTTGCATTAGGTGTGCACAGGATCCCTCTGGCTGCATGTTGGGCACAAAGTGTGGGGCATGGACCCAGGGAGAGCATCTGCAAGGCAGGACCCACAGGTGATTCAATCACTGAAGAGCCGGCGCACAGAGCGGTTCCTTGACACTCCCACGCCTTCAGCTTTTCTGGTAGCAGGCTCCCGTGCTGATCCCTGCAGAGTCCTAGGAAATCCTTAGGACAGCCCTGTTGGCTGCAATCCCTGTGTGATGGTTAAGGAAAACGAGGCGCAGGGCAGCGGCTTCTGGGCAGCAAGATGAGCATTTGTCACTAGCCCCTGAACTTAGGCCTCAGGAGGAGGCAGAGCCTGCCTGCCGACCCTTGTCTTTGCATTTGCACCTGCCCAGGTGAAGGGAGCCCACTGCGCATGCGCCCGGACCAATTCAAAGCGCCCCGCTCGGGTCCAGCCCTCCAGCTGAAAGCGCCGGCTCGGCTTGGCGCGCTGCCTCGGCTGGAGGATGCTGGTGAGGGGCAGGGACCGGGGACCGGGCCCAGCTCCCGCGTGGGCCTCTCTCCAGCGACTGACCCCAGCCCCTCTTCCTTTCAGGGTCCTAATGCCTCCCTCAATTCAGAGCTTCCGAGCGCCCCAGTCCCCGACGGGGACACCAGTGTCTCCCCGGGACGTCCCGAGAGGCTGTCCGCGCCGCCGGGGCTGGAGGAGGCCTTGAGCTTGCTGGGGCTGGAGGGGGAACGCGAGTACGCTGGGGACATCTTCGCTGAAGTCATGGTGAGCGGGCGACCCCGGCGCCGTCCCACTCCTGGCGCGCAGCCGGGGTTCGGGTTGGATGGCGCTGGGCCTGGCGGGCTCTCCGCTCTCCCCTCCGCGGGCGTCCAAACCTGCGCCCCACCCCAGATCTCAAGTTCTAGGCGGTTCCTTTTTTCCCCTTGCACAGTTACTGAAACCCCTTCCCGCGGTCCCTGGCTGTTGGCAGCCCTTCCTTCGAAAGCCCGTGGCTACCCTATTTGTGCCTCCTGAGTTCGCTTAACAAACACTTAACCCTTTATTATGGCGCTTTTGAGCATGTCCTGGGCACCGGAGCTGCGGCGATGAGCCACAGTCTGTCCTCGTTCTGGGGAGACAGCTAGCAAATATACTTGATAATTACAGAAGGCCACAAAGGCCAGCACACAGGTCGTGGCAGGGGTCCGTCTCCACGAGATGCCACTGCCTGAAGAGGTGCTGGAGCGAGCTTAGCCAACACCCGCCAGTCTCTCCCCAGGGCCATGTTCTCTGCCAGGAGCTGAGATGCACCTGTGATCGGAACGCAGGGCTCAGCCTTTGCTGGAGGCTGAATGCTATGTTCCCAAATTCTTAGGTTGAACCCACATTTCCGGTAGGAAGGTATTAGGGGTTGAAGTCTTTGAGAGCTGACCAAACCAGAGAGATGAGCCTCATGAATGGGCCAAAGAGCTGGGCATGGAGGCACATGCCTGTAATCCCAGAAATTCCTGAGGCTGAGGCAGGAGGATCACAAGTTTAAAGCCAGCCTGGGCAACCTAACAGACCCTGTCTCAAAAAGACCCTGTCTCAAAAAAAGGGGGTATGTAGCTCAGGGCTTTTGTGGTGCTGGCAACCTAGCAGGGCCAGCAGACAACACACACAGGGAAACAATGGCTATCTTTAGTGAAAATACTAAGGAAAAAAGAGTAATGAGATAATGAGGGGTGGGATGGAGGGAGGAGTATGGAGAAAGGGAAATTTTATCTGAGACTTGAAGACTGAGAAAGTAATGCAAAGAGTAAGGGAAAGACAATTACAGGCAGAGGCAAGGTAAGCACCAAGGCCCTGGGGTAGGAATAAGCTTGATGTAGTCTGAAACAAGAGAAGGCTGGTGTAGCTGAAATGTTGGTTGTGAGGGAAGAGGTGACATCGGTTGGGGGCAGGGTCTGAGAGTCTGACAGGAATTAGGATTTTCTCCTAAGGGTCTGAGGTTCCTTGGTCAGATCTGTCTTTGGATGGACCCTTCTGGGTGCTCTGAGGGGGATGGATTTGAGGATTGGTGGCCAAGAATGGAATTTGAAAACCCAGACAGGGGAAGATGCCCAGGAAGCTGTGTGGCCATGGGGGCTCCTCAGTGGACAGGTGGATAGGGAGGTATCTACAGTGAAGTCCAGGATTCCAGATGGGGTCGTGGAAGAGGTGCAGCTGAGGCTGGTTACGGTGTGGCACTCCTGCTACATCCAACTTTGCAGGAGGAGGCTATTGCACTCCGGGCTGGAGCTCAAGAGCGACAGAGGCCCAGGTGTGGAGAATGAGGCCTGTCTTGCCCATCCCCAGGTGTGCCACGCGCTGCCCCGGAGCCCCCTGCCCCGCCCCGTGACTCCAGAGATGCGTGCGCTGGTGGTAGACTGGCTGGTCCAGGTGCACGTACGTAAGTGGAGAGGGGGTGAGGCTGGTTCCCTGTCACTACCTGAGACCCTGATGGTCACCTGTGCCCCTCCCCAGGAGTACTTGTGCCTGGCAGGGGACACACTTTACCTGGCGGTGCACCTGCTCGATTCCTACCTGCGGGCCGGCAGAGTGCGCCTACACCGCCTGCAGCTGCTGGGCATGGCCTGCCTGTTCCTGGCGTGCAAGATGGAAGAGTGCGTGCTTCCCGAGGTATTCGCGGGCTGGGGCTTGGGAGGGTGGAGCCTTTGCTGTAGTCACTGATTAAATGCCCACTGTGCGCCACACTCTTCGTGTACTCTTGGAATCCTAACGAATCTGTCTGTATGAGGCACGGGGCTGCTAATGTGTCCCTTTAACAGGAGGAGGAAACGGACCATAAGGGAACATTTGCCCGGAATTTAAACAGCCGAAACTTGGATTCCATCTTGAATACAGTAGTCATAGTCCCTCTCGAGTGTTAACATACATAAACTCAAAGCTGTGTCATGAAGTAGGGAGTATCATTTCGGTTTTAAGGGTGAAGAAGAAATGGAAAGCGTAAATGAATGTCCCATGTCACATAGTGGATAAATGGTGCATTGAACCCGGTCATTATGACTCTGATGCCCGTGACATCCACGACTTTCAGACACAAGTCAATGGCCCCGTTTTACAGACCAGGAAACTGAGGTCTGAAACTTGGACTGAAGCGACCCCAGGTGCTCCAGGGCTGGGAGTCCAAGGCTACCTCACATCTTTCCCCGCAATCCTCAGCCTGCTTCCCTCTGCCTTCTGAGTGCCGGTTCCTTCTCGAGGGCAGAGCTGCTGCGCGCAGAGCGCCGCATCCTGAGCCGCTTGGATTTCCGACTGCACTATCCCGGGCCCTTGCTGTGCCTGGAGCTGCTCACCGCGCTGGCCGGGAGTGGCCCCCAGGTGCGCATGGGTAAGGGCGTGGCCTGTGCGGGGGAGCAGCGTGGCCAGCCAGAGCCTGAGGTTCACCCAGCCTCTCTGGCAGGTGATGCTGCTGGCCACCTATTTCCTGGAGCTGTCCTTACTGGAGGCTGAGGCTGCGGGATGGGAGCCTGGTCGTCGCGCAGCTGCGGCGCTGAACCTGGCGCATCGCCTGCTCGACGGAGCGGGCTCCAGGCCCAAGCCAATGCTTTACAGGTGTGGCCTTGGCAGAGGGCGGTGGTGGGTCTCCGTTGCTTATAGCCTCCCTTCTGGGTCGCTGTCTTTCCCATGTCAGGATGAGACAATTTGGGACGGGGAGCAACTTAGACTCGATGTCTCTGGGTGGGGGAGAGGATGTCATGTCTTCCGCCCCGAAGGGTCTGCCTTTCTCTGGGGATGTGAGAGGATAGGGGTGTGTGCAGGCTGGGGGGCCCTTCGGCCTGCCTCTGGGGGAGATGGGATCTCTGGGTTCCCTGTGGCCGCATTCCGTGCCCCCATCACGACCTCGAGGGGGCCGCCCCCAGGGCCCGTGTCAAACGTCTTTTCAGCTTCGAGCCTTCGGCCCAGGGATAGGCTCTCCCCGCCCCTTCCCTGCCTCAGTCTCCCCATCTCCCCACTGCAGCTCCGCGGAGCTGGACCCCCTCGAGCGGTGCATGGTCCGCGCCTCTCTGCGGGGCCCGACACCTGGCCGCGCCGCGGTCTTCCTCAAGTACGCGCGGCCCCAGCGCCAGGGCACCAGCCTCGCCGCCGCCCTCCTGCTCCGGCGCCCCCAGCCTGGGCCTCCTTGAGCGCCACGACCCACCCAGAAAACAAACGCAAACTCTCACTGTGTGTTCGTCCCCACTTTAATAAAAGTGTCTTTTATTCTGAGCGCTCTCGGTCCTACTTGATCCAATTCTGCCCCCTTCTCGCTTTTGATTGGTCGCTTCCCTAGGTCTCTCCTCCCTCTGATTGGATATCCTTACCCAGTCCTTAGTTAAGGAGAGAGAAAATGCAAATTCTCAACTTCTCCGCCAGGGGGCACTGGAGGACTTCCCCGGAGCCTCAGCTAGGAAAACTGGGGGCCTCAGGGCTGAGAACACAGGAACTGTGCAAAACCGAGATGCCCGCCCGCCCCAGTCCTGAAGAAGTCTACCTTCATGGTGCCAGCTTCTCAGATTTCACTCAAGTGAATCTCAAAATCTGCAATACCATAAACATCTCTGCCTTATGTTCTCAACAAACTCTTATTTATTTCTCTCTATTTTGTACTGGGGATTGAACTTAAGAGCTCTTATCCACTGAGAGACATCCCCAGCCCTTTTTATTTTTTTGAGATAGATAGAGTCTCGCTAAGTTGCTAAGGGCCTCACTAAATTGCTGGAGCTGACTTTGAACTTATGTTCCTCCTGCCTCAGCCTCCTGAGCAGCTGCAATTATACATATGGTAGTCGCCATTCCTGGCATCATTTAGTCCTTTTTAATGGCTGTACAAGCCCAACACACCACATATACTGGCCTGTGAAGGTCATCAGTTGGTTAGAGTCCTTGAGAGAAATCAATAAATGGAGTTTGATTTACTTAACCCCGAAAGTGCCACATGTCAGTATCTACAGCAGCAACCTCACAGTGGTGTGGTATGTGAGTTAATATGTATGCAAAGCTTTAGGGCAAGGGGGACAATAGAAGAAAAAGTGTTTGCATTGTATCCTAGTATGACTGGGAGTGAGGTACAACCATCCCCATTTACCACTGTGCCCTAGCACCTAGCTAGTTAATAGGTCAGAAAACATTAGTTACAAATCAATGGATTTCCATGTTTTCCATTAAAAAAAAAAAACTACCCACCCACATACACTCCTGAGGTGCAGAAAGGTTAGTGTGATGTTTGGGATTCACACTTGGGGACTTTAGACTCCTAACCAAACCTGGGTTTGGAGGTGCAGAGAGGAAGATATTTCTATGCCTGGGGTGTTCAAGTTGGACCCCAGGAATGGGGGAGGGACTTACTCAGTAAAAGAAATTTACAAAAATTACAATAACAGAGTCAGCTGCAGCCATTGGGATGGGAGGTATTGATTTCAGGTTTTGGCTATTGGGTGGGGCCAGCTGTGGAATTTTGGAACTCTGCCAGAGAGAGGATGTGCCCCTAAGGTGGCAGTGGGGACAGTGGAAATACATAAAATCATTCACTACTAATTCGACAACTAGATATAAATGTTAATGTTAGAATATGAAGAAAAAGGAACACTTTTACACTGTTGGTGGGATTGTCAATTAGTACAGCTTCTATGGAAATTGGTATGGAGGTTCCTCAAAAGACTAGACATAAAGCCATCATATGACCCATCCATACCACTCCTCAGTATTTATCAGCATAGTCTAATGACATTTGCATTTTATGTTTATAGCAGCACAATTCACAATAGTCGAACTATGGAACCATCCTAGGTGTCATCAATGAATGACTGGGAGAAGAAAATGTGATATATATGCATATGTACGTCTATGTATGTTTATACATCTATACATGTATCACATATACATGCACACATACATAATGGAGTTTTAGTCATAAAAATGAAATTATCATTTGCAGGAAAATGAATGGAACTTGAGAACCTTATGTTAGTGAAATAAGCCAAACTCAGAAAGTCAAGGGCTTTTCTCTCCTATTTGGACCTAGAGGGGAAAAAAGGAAAGAAAAGGTGTGGCAGTGGGAGGGGAGTCTCATGAAAATGGAAGGGAGATCAGTACAGGGGGAGGGAAAGGGGAAATGCTGGGGAAAGCTATGGCCAAATTATTGTTCCATTATGTACAAATAGGTAAAACAAATCCTGCCATTATGTGCAACCATAATTCAGTAAAAATTTAAAAAACAAGTACATACCAATGCTGAGGCCAAGTCAGGTATTTGTGGCTAAATACCTGAGGATAAAATGGTAAGAAATCACCCATGACTGTACCAAGGCCCTGTGCTGAGTGCTTTGCCTGCATGATAGAATTCAGTCCTCACCTAAGGTAAACTTACTTGTCATTCTCGTGTCACAGAAGGAAGTCAAAGTGGAAGATCGAGAACTTGGCAGAGGTCACACAGCTGAGTGGGGGGCTAAGGAGGGCTGCAGGGCAATCATCCCCTTCACCCCATTTTGCTTTTGTGAACCTCCCACGTCTCCTTCCCTGCATATTCTTTCATTAGTGTTCCGCTCTCTGGGGCACTTCTCAGGGACGTGTCTGCTTTCTCACAGAAGGTGAGCTCGCTGAGCACAAGAGGCCGATCTCTCTCGGTTGTAGGGTTACCCCCCTCCTCCAGGAAGCCCTCACTCGCCACCTCTGCCAAGGGCAGGTGCCTCCTCTGAGCCCTCGCCGTCTGTTATGCCTCCACCATCTCAGTCCTGAACCTTCTCCTTGCGCTTTCTAGCTAGTCCATTGTGGGCTGTCACTGTTGGTCACAGGTCTGCCTCTCTTCTGGCCTGGGGGGCCTGGTGAGGGTAAGGTCTGAAGTCCTCGGGCTTTAGTGCATCCCAGAATCATCCAGAACAGAGCCAGGCACAGAGAAGATAAAGTGAATAGTTGTTTGTTGCATAAATAAGTGAATGAATTCCAAGGTGGATATTATTAACCCACGTGACTGGATTCCGAGTTCCAGGTAATTTAAGTGAGATACAACTAGCGAGAAAATAAAGGGAATTTGATGTAGACAGCTTGAATCCCTATTTCGTGTTTATATCCAATACACCAAATGTTTAGTGGGCTGAAAACCAGCTTTTTGCGAGGTTGATATCTTCAGGTCCTCCCCTTGGGCCCATCTTTTCCTGCTGAAAATCTTTGGGAGCTTTGGACATGGGGGAGGAGAGCAGACTGAGGGCGGGCGGGTGAGAGGAGTGTTGAATAAGGGAGAGGAGAATGACTGGGGCTGGTTTGAAGATAGGAAGGGAAAGTCTTGAGGGGCTTCTCTAGACCCATAGGGGGCAGCCGGAATCGGCAGCCGGAGGTGCGGGGGCGGAGAAAGGGTGGGGACCGGCCCCGCGGGGGGCGATGCGGTAGCTGCAGCGGCGGCCGCAGGAGTTTCCCACAATGCAGCGCGGCGCGCTGTCCCCGGTGCTGATGCTCAGCGCTGCCCCGGAGCCTCCGCCGCGCCCGCCTCCCGCCCTCTCCCCGCCGGGCCCTGGCCCAGGTCCCCGCCATGGCTCGGCTCGACCGGGTCCTGCCCCAGAGCCGTCGGGGGCGCTGGCTGCGGCGCTCGACAGCAGCCTGCGGGCCGCCGTGGCATTCAAGGCGGAGGGCCAGCGCTGCTATCGAGAGAAGAAGTTCCGGGAAGCCATCGGCAAGTACCACCGGGCTCTGCTGCAGCTGAAGGCGGCGCAGGGGGCCCGCCCTGGAGGCCTGCCCGCCCCCGCCCCCGGGCCCGCCACCAGCCCCGGGCCCGCCCGCCTCAGCGAGGAGCAGCGGCGCCTGGTGGAGAACACGGAGGTGGAATGTTATGACTCTCTCACGGGTACGGGGCCATCGGGGGACACGCAGAGGGGCATGTGTGAGAGAAGCGGGAAGTGAGGGACCATCAGGAGGTCTTGGGGACCGCGGGCGGGGGCTGGAAGCTGAAGGGGCCACAGCCATGCATGGTCTGTTGAGAGAGACCTCAGAAACTTGATCAAGGCAAGGAGTTGAGGGCAGATGATCAAAGCTCTGGTCTCTGAATGGAGGGAGCTGAGATGCAGGAAATGGGCTTTGATCTGGGTCTTCAGAATCCCACTTCCCCTGTCATTCCTTCTGCCCCCGGCCAATAGTGACCCTAAGATGAGAAGGGCTAGCCATTCTATGCCTAGTCCCTCGCCTCTGCGGCGACCCTTAACTCTTGTCTACCGAAACCTTGCTAATCACCGGAGCGTACCTGTCTTTCGCGCCCTCTAGCGGCGGCGCAGATTGAGCCTATTCTGATGGGACAGCAGATTGGCGCCTCCTGGGGGCCGTAGCCCCCTTGGGTGATGGGGTAGGACCCAGGTTCCCTGTAGGTGGGAGACCAGACTCCTCGAAGTCACGTGGGTTCTAGATTTGCCACTAGACTTAAGAGTACACGCCCGGCGCCCCTGCAGCTTGCCTTCTGCAGTCGGAGCTGGTGAACTATGAGCGCGTGCGTGAGTACTGCCTCAAGGTGCTGGAGAAGCAGCAGGGCAACTTCAAGGCCACCTACCGCGCCGGCATTGCCTTCTACCACCTGGGCGACTACGCACGTGCGCTGAGATACCTTCAGGAGGCCCGAAGCCGGGAGCCCACAGGTGAGGGGCAGGGCGGGAAAGAGGTGATGGCTGGGCCCCCGGCTGGGAAAGGGCTTAGAGGGAACCAGGTCGGGATAATCAGGGCAAAACAGAGTCCCCCCGTTCCAGAGCTGCCCGGAAGGAGTGCTGCACCCCCCCACTGGACATTGTCTCCCCATCCACCTACTCCTTGCGCGCGCCAACTCACTCCGTCCATTCATTCACCCACCCTCCACCAAACATCCGCTCCCCCACCATTCCTTTGCCATCTACTTGGTCACTCCTCATCTAGTCTGTCACTGAGCTATCCTGATACCTCCCGTTCACTTACTCAGCCACTTCCCTATCCACACAGTTATCCTGTCTCCATACTTTCCCACCCCAAATACACTCATCCTTCGTTTGTTCACTAACCATTCGCTCATTCACCTACTCTCCACCCAGGGCAGGTGGTGCCAGGAAACTAGTGTGTGGAGGGACAGGGCTGAGGGATGGCAGAACTCCAGGCTTGTTTCCTGGCGTTCTGGAGGTAATGGCCAGGTGTATGCATGTCCCACGAGCATACAGACACTTGATTTTGTATCAAGAGTCAGGAGAGAAGAGGGCTGACCGGGGGTGCATGGTGCAGAGCTGGAGCAGAAGCAAGATTAACTTCCCTGTTAAGTGGTTTGGAGAGCAGACTCCTCGCAGATGTCACTGGGGATGGGTGGAAGTGTGGCAGGAGCCTCTGAAGAGGCATTCCTGGCAGAGGGTGCAGCAGCTGCGTGAGCAGGGAGGTGTGAAATGTTTCTGGCTGCTGGTTGCAGCTGGGCTTCTGGGTAATGGCTCTGGCAATATGGGATGTTGGGGAGCCCCTGGAAATGGGGGACAATGGGTACAAACTGAGGTGGCATGGATGTCATCTGCTGACCCAGGGGACACCCAGATAATGCCCTGCAACCTCCCCTGCAGACACCAATGTCCTTCGTTACATCCAGCTGACCCAGCTGAAGATGAACCGCTGCAGCCTCCAGCGGGAGGACAGTGGCGCTGGGGCCCCTGCCCGGGATGTGGTTGGCTGAGGGCGAGGGGCTGCCTACCCGCCACCTCACCATGGAACTTCCCAGACTCTTGCATTTGCTGGTAAAGCACTTGTCACTGATGACCTCTTTGTGTGTTGTTCTTGTGGGGTCAGAGAGGGGACATGGGCCTGGGTCTCATCCCTTGACCACAGAAACCCAGAGAAGCCCAGGGAGGAAGTGTGGGTGTGGGAGTGTCCCACTGGGGATGAGCCAGCACAGGGGGCCTGGGCTGGGGAAAAGACATTCAGCCAAGCAAGGTAGGGGGCAGGGGTTACCTTTAATGCTGCATTTGTGCCAAATCCCCCATGATGCCCTGTCCCTGAGTATCCCTGCCCACCCTCCAACCCACTGCAGGGTGGGCACAGGGCTCCACCCCCTGGGGTACAAAGAATAAATTAAGTGTCCCCCCTCCCTCCTTCCCCAATAAATAGAGTGAGTATCCTGCCCAGGGCCTCCCCCGCCTTGGGGCATGGCAGGCTGGGGCGGGGCCTGGGACGCTACATTCATGGCTGCCCAGGCGGGCGGTGGTGGGCAGGCCTCATTGGGAGCCGTGGGCCTCACACAGGGGCACAGTGCTGTCCTGGCTCTGCCCCTCCATGTCCATGTCCAGCAGTGTAGGCTGCATGCTGGGGGGCCCAGGGCTCTCTGGAGTGTCTGGCCTGCTTGGAGGCGAGATGGTGAGTGTCCGACCAAAGGAGACCAGTTTCCAGGGGTCCAGACGGGGACGGCTGGCAGCCGGCCGGGGTCTTGGGGCAAAGGTCAGGGTGGTGGGACGGCCAGGGAACTCGGGGGGCCGGCGGCGGGTGGGGAACAGGGCCTGGGGGTCAGGCAGGCGGGGGAAGTCCAGGGGGTCTCGAGGGCCTGGGGAGAGAGGATCAGATGAGGTGAGTGGGGTGGGTGAAGGGGGACTTCCAAAGTCAGCAACAGTTACAGCAAGAGTGGAATTTGGGGCTTCCCTTGAAAAACGCTCAGATGCTGGGCCCACTGTCCAGCAGGGCCACTGCCGTCTGAAGCCCGGAAGCACTGGGCTCTTGCCCCAGGCCGCCACCACTCCCATGGCTCACTCAACTCTGCGCATGATGCCACTCTGGGCATGTGTTTTAGCCCTTTGACACAGGTTTCTTAGTGGCCCTCTAGCCCAAAGCCCTGTCCCTCTTACACTGGGCGGGGTGCAGGTAGACAGACATAAGGGAGAGACAGTAGACATGACATTGTCTCTGAATCAGGATCAAAACAGCACCTCACCATCTAGGGAAGGGCTGAATAAAGCAACGGTAACTAACCAAAC